TAGCGTCACATGCCATTTCAATACACGTTGTGGAAATTATCAAGTAAACAAACATGCTTAGGTTGATTCAAATTATTTTCAGCTATATGAATAGAGTTCACACAGAATTGTATGGAATTCGAGATTTATTTTGTCGGGCCACATGTAAACGCCTAATTCATTGACATAATCGAGATATGAAAACAAAACCGATTCTTCTACTTATTTAATGTAAACAAGTTTCGGTCAAGATCTGAACAGGATAGTTTATACGCAGATAAAAACATGGTCCTTCGAATGCGACATAATTTTGTTTATAATAATATCTGTCCGAAATTTATTTAAATCACTGGAACTACCCCAATGGAAACAATCTGAGTAATTGAGTTTTGGTTAGCGCACGCCGCGTTGGTGACCGCTAATGTTGATTATTTACTTTAACTGTAAATAAAAAAAATACCTACTTTTTAAAATAACAATGGGACGTCGCATGCGGTGTGAGATTATCAAATGTAACTACACGTTTGCATAAATAGTCCCAATGGTACAATATTGTTATGTAATTTATACGTTTATACAAATAAAATGAAATCCATATCGTTGTAAAAGCAAAATAGACCGACTGAGTCTTAAAAATCGTCTTTCTATTAAGGAAAACAGAGATCATAAATTTTATCAAAAAAAGGAGGTTAAAATATTTATTTGTAGTAATTAATTTGAATGTATAAAAATAATGTTTATTTTTTGTTTATCTGATACACGGAATCACATTTGAGAAAGGGTAGGTATTACACTGTGCTCGCGGTGGCAAATTTTCGATGCATTGCAAGAGACAATTTTTTATAGAGTAACGTGTACAGTTATTGGTAGAGGTGTGTCTTAATTTTAAAATTAATTTTTTTTAAAATAATTAGGCAGATTATTCATTTTATATTTTTCCCAAAAATTAAATATTTAATTGACTTTGAAAGGCACTAAATACGTTTTTAAAAGTGTGTCAATTAAAATTGGACAATAATCTAAATAACATTTGTAGTTCTTATGGAAAAATAAAGACGCCAATAACTATTTTTTGATCATTTTGTAAAATACCAATAATTTAAAAATAAGTATCAAACCTATATAGGCGCTAAATAGCTCTGTAAGTACAATTACATGTGAAACCTAATTTTAAAAGTTTCTCAATTTTTCAAAATCGTATTTAGGAGCAAATTATTTCGACAAGTTTCTTTTTTCACAAATCGTCTTTGTGAACAGTTTCTATTATTCAAAAAAATTTAACTGTCTAATTTTTTCTTTAAAACTATATAACCAAATAGGAATACTCCATCATGAAATATTAGTTTGCAGTATAACTCTATACTACGCAATAAACTTTAAATTATCTATTGAAATAACAAAAGTACCTGTATTTGATTACACAGTATGGTTTGGTTATGTTATGAGGAGAGAAGAATCGGAAGCTGTAAGTACAGTTATAGAAATGAATGTTGAAGAAAGAAGAGGTAATTGAATGCCATGTGAAGACGGCTGATGTGAGCGTAGATGATGTGGGGGGAGATCGTGTCAAGTGGATGTTTAGGAAAAGGGTGGCCGATTCCAAGTAGTTGGGATTAAGGCGAGGAAAAAGAAGAAGACCTGTATTTAATGATATAACTTTTCTTTATTATGGCTTAAGTCCCTTAATTTAGTAGGCACCTAGTCTTATTATATCTCACAATGCTTGTTAAATGTTCACATTAAAATTTCTCTAAAATATTTTGAGTTTTAAAAATATAATGATCAAATTGTTTTAGATCACAGCCTCCTCTTGCGATAATAGAAACATTATTCCCAAAATACGTATCCGAGATTTTATACTAGTTTTTGTTGTTTTTTGGGTTAAATATTTTTTAGTTTTAAATTAATATATTTAATTTTAAACAATATTATGAGCCACGAGTGATCAATTTTATTATATAAATAACTTACAAGATAAATAAAATTCAATTTTTACTTCTTTTGCTTTTAAATTATACCCTAGGTTTCTTTTTTTAACCAGAAGTATTATTTACCTTATGAATTTCAAATATTCATTACTCTTATTCTATATAAATGGTAATTTTTCTTAAAAGTGTTTTAAGTTATCTTTTAAACATTACAGTCAATGATTTTCATAACAATATTTTACATAGCTGAAGTCAAATCCAATAGCTCAAATATAATTAGCTTACTTACAACACATTCGGCTAAGGTAAAATATTTATTTTGGCGGTGGTTTCGGGATACATTTCAAGGGCTTTCATGAACTATTCATTTTATGAATTATTAATATGAGAAATACGGCTGAAGGGAGTATTAATTTCGAGCCTCTCATTGTGGGTTAATATTAAAAAGAATCTTTCTCAATACATTGCACTAAATAGTTAAGTACGTAGTTAGGTCATCAAGTTTTGTATGAACGAGGCCTTTTCATCAATCGTGTAACATTATATGTGATAATGTAATTTTAATCCACGAAAAATATTAATTTTATAAATTTTAATAAATTTCAAATATTGAGTATTGGGGTTTTGATTAAACGTATTCTTGGAGTAATTTTAATATTTATAATAATTTTTCAGGGATTTTTTTTTCGTCTAACTGAATTACTGACAGTTTTCGACTAACAGACAAAATGTAATTATTAATGTAATTTGAATAGCAATATTATATTATGTCTGTTAAAATAACTTTTAGGAATGTTAACAATTGTTTACAACTTTTAATTGCAAGACTATAATTTTATATATAAAATATTTTACCATGTAATCATTTTGTCAATTTTTGGTGTAATAATAAACGTTGATGTGTTTATTATTACTATAAGCCAACATGATATTTCAAATATAATTAATAAACTTGTTAAGGTTTTAATGTCGCCTGTGGGGATAGAATAATTTTAAGTTTTGCTTAATCTAATAAAAAATTACACAACAGTGGTGTTTACCGTGGAATCATTTTTTCACGTAATAAATTTCTACAAAAAAACCTGAAAGTCTTGTAATATTTATAATATTAAATATTATAATAATATTGAACCTTCAATGTCTTATAATATAATAAGGCTAATTTTAATTTTGAAACAATGCACGTTGAAGACTTAAATAAATACAAACTAATAATTTATATTTATTTTTACTTATTGTAACCAAATTATAAAAATTTGCATGATAAAATCAGGGGAGGAAAGATCCCTCAGAACACAAATATTTATATGGTAAAAATGTAGTTTTTTTCTTGTGAAAAGCAAAGTGAAAACGTTTCCTTTATACACCCCCTACCAGAATTACGACACGGAGATAAAATACATAATCAACATTATTTTCAAAGTTATAATTTCCTGAACACAAAGCTGACAAGTATAATTGAAAAAAAAATTATCTTTCATTATTTTTTTAATCGTTGGTGTTATTTCTATTACGCCAAGAGAATTCATAAAATATGTTATAAATTAAAGTTTCAAGTTACTACTTTAAAAGTAATATAAATAATATGCATGAGTAAAACTTCTTTATGGGGAAATATATTATTTATGTGAACCAATTTAAAGAAATTATTCTGAAGATGATCATTTGAAAAATTAAAAATTATTTCAATTCATTCGAATGTTTTTTGACGAGTTAAAATAATTTCATTTTATTTTAATATTTTTTTCTATCATAAAAAAAAGGTTTTTATTATTCGTACTACTCAGAAAGTAACCTTGATAAATTACTTAACAATTTACACTCCGAAGCTTATAATTACACCTATATTTTTTAGAATTTCTTCAATAGTATTGGATAGTGAGACAAATTGATTATAGTGACAAAGGAAAACATATGACGGATAAAGAAGAAAAACGATAATTGTCGTCCATTTTTTCCATTTAGATTTTATGGTTTGATTCGATTAGCAGTGGTATAAAGTAATGCAATCCATTTGATGAAAACATTTTTCATCTTGCTAATATTAAAACGTCAATTTTTGTTTCATTATTAAACAGATAGGAATTTATAAATTTGTTTTTGCTCTCTTGAAAATTTTACAGAAATAGACTGTTACCGTTTTCCCTTCTATCCTTCATATTAGTAAAATATAAAACATCATATAAATTATATAAATTTATATGATGTTTAATTAAGTTTTATATAAATTTATCTTGAATCAAATAAATTAAAAAACGATATTCAATAAAAGTATTATTTGATAATAATTAATTAACTAGGAATACATTTTATCATCGTTTTAGATTATGTTTCATTCATCTAACATTTAATCATCGATTATAATAATAACTTATTCATTAAAATATTTTTAATATTTATTAATGTTCTAATTGTATAGCAGTAATAGTTTTATAATAATGAGTAATATATTAATTATATATTATACTAATTTTATTATGATTTTAAATGGAAATAATTTCATAAATACGATATTAAATAATTTTTCATTGAATTAATGCGAATTTCGATTATAATTTGATATTTTCAAAAGTGTACTTTTGCCTTTTTGTTTATTAATATAAGATTTGGCTTTACGCAAATATCCTCGACTGATTTTAACGCATAAAGTAAAAATAAAATACGATGGTGTGCTTACAAAATTTTGAAATTGCTAAAAAAGGCCTAAATTATATTCACACATTTCCCTAATGGGGTATAGTTTTTATTATAAAATAAAATATTTTACTGATTTATGACGTTGTATAAAAGTAACGCCATTAAAGTGTAACTTAAATGTTATACTTTTTTAAACATAGTTATTCAATTTTACTTTAAACGCCGTACTATATAAATGAAAACAAGAATAAATCACCCTGAGTCATGCACGTGTTTTAAATTTACTCTTTTATAAATTATTTAATTCTACCGAGTCAAAAGTAATTTTGAAAAAGAAAACAATAATATTGAATATTTTTGTTACGCTTCCGTTTATTTAAAAATAAAATATTGGAAATTAGGAATATCTGTATCTTTATCCACTTTAAGTATTTTCTTGGTTGTTTGAGCGAGTGTAACATTTACGAAATTTATTTTAGTTACCCGAAGATAATTTTTTACTCTAGTCTTCAAATTAAAAAAATACTCACATATACTATCATTTTAAACGGACCGTTTAAACTCTCGGTATAATTACTCGAGAGGGGACTAGGGACTTTTGTCACGCTCCGCCTGGTCCAGCACACGCAGTGGGAGAAAAAGAGATCTACTAACGTTGCGGTGATAAGATCTACGGGGAGTAAACGAACGGCTAGATCTCTAGACGTCAGTACGTCTTTTCCTCTTGTTTCTGCTAGTTCGAATAGTCGACTGTTTAATTGGTATATTTTGTGATTGTGGTGTTTGGAGAACTTTAGTGGAGACAATTTTTTTAATTGAATTATTATCAGTCAAAATCAACTGTTGATATGGAAGAAAGTCTAGTGAAACCGGGTCCGTCCGGAAAACCGGTGGTAACGATTACGGCTAGTGCGGCAGCAAGTGTGACGGCGGCAGCCAAAGCGGCAATGAACAAAGCTCTAAAAGACAACGCACAAATAAACGACGCCGTCAGCAAAGTCTTGCAAGGATATGACTGGACATTAGTTCCGGTAGCAGCTAAGTAAGTTTTCCATTTAAGTGTTTCTAAGTGACTCGTTCAAAGACATTTTTATAATAATAATGCACTAACTAACTAAGTAAAAAGAATTATGGATAAACTTTGTGTGACAACAAAAAATATAGCGCAAGCTATCTCTTAATTGTCAATATTAACCGTAAATAAATTACACTGCAATAAAAAAACTCTGTGCGCGTTTTACGAGATTATTCAATTTTGTACGATTTAAAGTTTCCAGTTAAAACATGATCGCGTTCCAGTTTTGACAATAATATTTTAAATTGAAAACAACTGCCATGCAATTTACTTATTGATTCTGTTCGTTAATAAACAATAACATTGAAAATTAAACCGTATTTGTTTGCCAACGTGAAAAATTACCCCTTTAAATACAAATTTGATTTCTACATAAATTCCTAACACGGTTAGTAGACATAATTTCTTTCCTATTATTAACCCGAAATTAGTTACTTACGCGTTAAGGTTATAACTCTTTTGAATGAATTTCACAGATACGGTAAAACGTTTTCTTACTTTGATAAATAATTTTTGTTATTAAGTTCATCAATAGATATTTTTTGTATTCAGTTATTTTGAAGTATTGGCCGATATAACTTATGAGATGAGAAAATGATTTTCAAAATGACTATATAGATTAATTATTACTCGAGAAGAAAGTAGCCGTAATATTCTGCTTGACACAAGTATAGATTTATATCACTCTAATCTGGACCCTGTCCGATTTTCTGTTGATTGTTACTGAAAAACCATTTTTTTTTTTTTAATTTTTCGATTTATGTGTTTATTTCAACACTCCCCGGGGATTTATAAATGACATCTCCCATCAATAGTCATTACTATCTGTATGTCTATTCGTATATTATCACAAGTTCTTGAAGTACACATCGAAAAATTATTACTGAATACCTCATGATGTAGGTATATATTAACCTAACATTCACTAAGCTTTAATTCAGAACAAATTAAATCGCTCAACATTAAACAAGTAATAACTTGTTAACTAACCGCAAATGTTTTTTAAATTAAACTAAGAAGTTGCATGTAATTAGTTGAGGATTTTGTAGTTATTAAACGCCCAAAAACATTAAAATATTTTTTCAAACATAACGTGTTTCAAATAAAACAAATTTAAATATAATTTTTCTGATTAGGTTCATTAATGAAAGTGATATAAAAAATATTCATCAAGATTTTGAGCTTCCATATAACTTATTGACTTTTCTTTCAATAAAAAATGCATATTGCATACCGTACTGCGAGTACTCTAGCGTAGTAATTCAAAATATATCGTACTAATAAATGGCACGAGTTAGTCATTTCTGTTATTGAAAAACAATATTATTTATTACTATTACGCATTCATTCATTTATAGATACAGCAATATGCTTTTACCTTAAAAAGAAACTGTGTATTTTTACCTTAAAAAGACATGTATAAACAAGTAACTCAAAATTGACAAATTTCGAGTTACTACACTAGAGTACAATATATCTTAGCGATTAACTGAATACAGAATTTAGTTTATGATTAACTTATTTCCCTATGCACTTTGATTTTTCACTCTAATATCCTATTTATTTAATATCTTATTTATTTATTCATTTAATACTTTTCCATCAGCCATCCTATAGCTAGCGCTGTTATTGGTTTATTGAACTTTAAGCTTATTTTGGATTTTTCTCCCGTTAATTTATTGTAAAGTATATTAAAATTTAAAAATTCAACTAAACTTGGTAAAATGTATTTAAAAACAAAGTTCGATTTATCTTTTAATAAATACTCATTAATAGTGGTATAGTATTCAGCGGAACAAAATAATGCTAACTCGCTTGCAACATTAGCGGTGTATTTTTTCTTATTATGTTTATGTTCATTTTACCGGAAGATAAGAAACGACCGGAAGTTGCTAACTAAGATACCAGCTGCGTATATTCAAAGCCCAATGCGATATAGGCCATTATATCTCTTCTTGCATTTGAATAAAATACGACATTTTCGTATGTTATGAACATTTAAAAAAATAGATTCAGCATATAACTTCTGATAGCGGTCTTTGTGAACGACGCCCACGAAATTCCAAACACAAAATATCTAAATCGAATAGTAAAAGAAAAAAACTGTAAAATATTTGTTAATTTTATCTGTTGCCTTGTGTCGCGTCATGAGGATCAATATTTCAAACGCACAAGACTCAGCTAATTTTTGTTTAGACATTACACTTATGAACCAATCGTAAATGATCCAATAATCGCATTGTATAGAACGGATTTTCATTAAGAATAACGTGCAGGACTTTTTTTGAAAAATTTTCATGGGCAACTACTTTTTAAACCGAGTCGATTTATAAGACGAAGAATTCACTTTAGATGTATTGAATTATGTTGTTTATTGTGATATTCTGTTAATATCAACTACATAATTTAGTATTACCCATCGAAAACAGTGTTAATTATTCGGTTTTAATTGAGATTTAATTTAATTGATAATCAAAGTCCAATGTCTTATGTTTTGCCAAATTTCACTATCCATTAATATTGTTTGAACATTGTTCTCAATCTTGTAGAAAAATGACATTTTATTTAATGCCAATTTTCGGACACATTTCGAAAATGATCAACAATTTAGTAGAACTTGATAGAACCTGAGACGTTGTATAGAATCGACTCTATTAACATACTAAAGTAGCATAGTATTTCTGAAAATACTTATTTCTTTCCTAGGAATACATTTACATTTTTCATTAACTCCTGTTACTTAATGTAAATTATACTTTTATTGATTCCTTAGAATTTATTAATAAGTTACAATAATAATTTTTCTTTTCAATATATTTATAATTTATTTTCACCATTTATAGATAAGTAGATAATGAAAGACACGATTTTCAATAAATAGATTATTTGTTTACATTTATGAAATAATTATGTGATCAATAAATAATTTCGATTAACAATTTTTACAAATATCTTATATTTTTAAATATATAAAATGTATAATTAAACCATAAATTCAGGGCAAACGGACGCAATAAGCCGTAGAAAAAATTAATTAGACTTTGAGGGATTATTATATATAAAATTAGTATTAATTCAATAGTATTCGCCATAATCGATGGACAATTAATCATCATTACGCATTCCGATAATATAGTAGAACTTTAATCTAAGACGAGTTTAATTAGTAGAAAGTGCTTACGTATAATAATCGTTCATTCTGGTTAAGCCAGGGCAGTTTATTGACCCTTCCAAGAGCTTTTCTCTGAAGTTTTAATTAATATTTGTATTATTCAATTATAGGAATTTTCGATTCTTATTATACTTGTTGTTTAAAATTGGAAAAGCATAACTTGAATATTTCTTTTTAGCGACGACACGCATTTAGAAGTACTTGCGCTCATTCTTGGGAATTTTACAGTTTATGAACATTATGTTTTTGAAATCACTGAAGTGTCTAATTTCGTGTATATGATCAACACGTCATTAGCAAAACGTCTACACAAATTAATTAAGGACATTTACATTCGTCGATTTAACTACGACTGGGAAATATGTGCGTTTTGGATGTATACCAAAATTCTTAGAGACTCATAAATCATTCGGGGTAAGATCATATCGGGGTCGTAGGTTTGACAAGATCGTTTTAGTATAACCTGTAGGTTGTGTATACTATTTTGAAACAACAATTTAAAAATAAGAAATGCCATAAAACAATTTTTATGACGCGAGAAATATTAATAAACTACAAAATTTCCATATTAACTCGTTCAACTTAGAAAACAAATATTTTATTTTTAAGAAAATACGAATGTGTTAAAACATAACTATTTAAGAAAATAGTTTTACTAGAAATATATTGAACAAATTTTTCATAAAAATTCACAAATTTCATTTTTTAAAAATAATTATAAAATAAATAGCACAGTGGGGTCGTGGCATAGTGGAGACATTGCATAGTAGGGTCCAGTATAGATTTAATCTGACAGTGATTAAAATCACTATCATAAGAAACGCTTCGATGCAAATCTGTAGATAGTGTTTAATTTTAAAAAATTGATGGATAATTGCAAAAGCAACATCAACTTCTATTAAAATAAAATACAAAACCCATAATTATCATACAAAAATAGTATATTTTTCAATATGGTAGCCATTTGCGTATAGAAGATAGATCGTCGGGACAAATTTTTTTTTTTCATTTTGTAGTACATAAAATAAGCTTTAATTTTATATATGTTTAAAGGACGCAGTATTTCCGGAACATTTTCAAAAATTAAGTTGAAAAAGTTATTTTTTGTAAAAAAGTTACTATTTTAAATCCTCCCAGTGAGCAGAATAAGTGTTAGATTTTCAAAAAAAATTATATCAAATGAAAGGGAAATATCTAAGGTTTCAATACAAAAAAATATTATTTTTATTTGTTCATTTTTGAAAAAGTTATGGCAGTTTTAAGTACAAAAAACATCCCGATAAAATGTAATTTTTATCGCAAACATTACATTTTTTTTTAAATTTTCGACAGCCATTTGCACATAGAAGATAAGATGTCGGGACAAATTTTTTTTTTTCATTTGATAGTATATAACATAACCTTTGATTTGATATATGTTTAAAGGACGCAGTATTTCCGGAACATTTTCAAAAGTTCAGTTGAAAAAGATCTATGTTTTTTACAATATTTTAAGTTTTGAACGCCCCCTATATAAGGGGAAATTGTCCAATTTTAATAAAAAGTATGTCAAATGAAAGATGTACTTATAATGTATTTAGAAAAAAAAAATTTGTGCTGATATATACATTTTTCAAAAAGTTATAGCATTTTTAAGTTGAAAATTTAAAATCGAAAATCGAAAATTTTAACACAAAAATAGTGTTTTTTTAACTACGGCAGCCGTTTAAATGTAGAAAAAAAAGTGTCGGGACAAATTTTTTTTTTTCATTTTGTAGTACATAAAATAAGCTTTAATTTGATATATGTTTAAAGGACGCAGTCTTTCCGGAACATTTTCAAAAATTAAGTTGAAAAAATTAATTTTTGTAAAAAAGTTGCCATTTTAAATCCCCCCCAATGAGCAGGTTAAGTGATAGATTTTCAAAAAAATGATATCAAATGAAAGGTAAATATCTAAGGTTTTAGTATAAAAAAAAATTATGTTGATTTGTTGATTTTTCAAAAAGTTATGGAAGTTTTAAGAAAAAAAAGTGAAAAAATTTCGAAAATTAGCGATTTTTAAATTTGTAATTTTTTTGGATATTTCCCCCATTTGCGGGGAACGAGGGAATTTTTTTCAATTTTTAAGGGTAATGTCTTCAACTAGATACGATTTGTGATCTTTTGACGTATTTTTGAAAGAAATCGGTCCAGTGAGAGCTGAGAAAAAGTGGCAACAGACATAAAAAAAAAAAAAAACACATCATAGTAAAATTAATACCTTCTCCGCTTCGCATCGAAGCTAAAATAACTTTCATTCCTGAGCAAGGAAAATATTAAGGGGGTAAGGATATTTATTCCAAAGAACGAAAATAATTACTAAGTGAAGTTATTATTTTCATTGAAGTGAATAATGAAACATTTTCTTAAAAATACACTCTCTACAGCTAATTAGTTATAAAAGGATATCTAGTACTTAAGATCTAGGTTCCTAATTGTTTTTGAGGGGTTGGTTTTTTTATAATTATCAAACACATTTGACAATTTTTCGAACAAAAAGTTTAATAGGATTAATATATTCGTTAAGAAGTTAAAAAGCGCAACTCAATCGGGACTCAGCTTAATACAACCAGTACACATTGAATTTGACAGTGATTAACGTTATTAGCATAAAACTCTTCAATGTGATTGTTTATAAATAATGACTAGAAAAATTAAAAGATTCTAAAGAAAAATTCACAAATATTGACTTCGCCATCCATTACATAAAAATGAAAAGTTTTCTTAAATCAGGATTATCTATCTTAATCAGGATATTTTATTTTTTAATTTTAAAGTAAATTATTTAAGCTTTAATTTGGCTTAGGTTTAAAAGACGCAGACGTCACGGAACATTATTAACATTTGAATAAAAAAAAATGTGTGTACGTATGTTGTTGAGTTATAATAGTTCGTGTGCTAGACTGTTTATAAGATTTTTATAAAACACACAATAAAAAATATATAATTGTCTTTCACTGATAAAAATTTCATTGAAATTTGTGTATTTTAAAAAATTATAGCTAAGTAAAAATTTCTTGTAAAAACAGAAAATTTCCATTGATAAAAAATTGTCAGAACATTTTTCTTTTAGTCTTATAGTACATAGAAAATATTTTATGTTATTTAGTTTTCAATAATGTAAACGTTCCATTGCTATTAAAAACACTCCATAGTCGATCATTTTTACTGAAATATATATGATATTTTGACTAATTAGCTGATAAATTGTAGAAATTATGTCTTGAATAGTTTTTATTTTTTCATTATATTAGCTTTAATTTAACATGCGTTTTAAGAATGCAGGTTTTATGGAACATTATCAAAAATTGAAAATAATATTTTGACATAATGTTTAAGCTTCTCAGTACTTTGGTTAATATTTGGATTTAAAAAAAAATGTTTAGTTATCAAGGTCAATATTTAAAATATTATCAACTGACAATTTCGTTATGATCCATTAGATTTCAACATAAAGTGAAAACCAAGTATATCATTATCAACTATTTTGTAATTTTTTGTGACATTTCCCTTTTTTGTGAAAATCGAGAGAAATTTTTCTAAACTATGGCGCTAAAAGATTCAACTAGATGTGATTTTTGAAGTATCATTTTACTTTCACAGCACTTGTCGTATTTTAATGGTACACACAAAAAATACATGACATAATAAAAAAAATACATTCTCAACTATGCATCGAAGTTACATAAATTAAATATATCCATAAATATATTTATATTAATAATATTTAATGCTAAATTATATTGAAAACTATTTCAAATTACTCTACTCTATTACTCATAATTTTTGTTTTTAGGCCACCTTCCGAAAAGAAGAATTCCCATGTAAAAAGGCCCATGAATGCATTTATGGTGTGGGCTCAAGCTGCCCGTCGCAAACTTGCCGATCAGTATCCTCAACTTCACAACGCCGAGCTCAGTAAAACGCTTGGACAACTTTGGAGGTAAGATCTTGTATTTTATTTAGTATCGACATAAGTATAATAATTAACGCTTAGTAGGGGAAATTCCCCATTAGCTATAACTTGATACATTTATCATTTTGTTAAAAATTTTTTATTAATTATTATCTTTTTAGATTACGTATTAAGTAAATTTTTTATCATTTGCCACTAATTAGAAAAAATAAAATATTTTAAAATAGTCATTGTTAGTCTATTCCTTAGCAACAATTCTGATGGATCGATATCAATTGTAGGAGTTATTGAGTAACAATTATTACAATATTTAGAGAGGATATGGAGCGAGGGTTGGGTATTTGTGTTCATAACTAAATAATGGTGAAAGTATGATTCCGTTGATTGACTTACGAAAAAATTTTTTATTATAATTTTTTCTATAGTAATTGTAAAATATCTAGTTACGAATTCAAATTGTAAATAATAATTAAAGTAATTATTTGTAATTTAAAAAGGGGAAGATGTATTTTTATAATTGATTCATTGATTTTGGTTACAGATAACCGAAAAAACCAACCGCCACCATAACTACACTAAAAAAACCACCCGCTACGATAACTATAATGAAAAAAACAACCTTAGTTGTATCATCAATTTTATTGTTAATATACAAGCAAAACAATTTTTTTGTTGGTTAAACAAACATTTTTTTTAGTAAAATAAAAAATGTATAATGCAAACAAATATTTAGTTCCATTAACAAAAATATGATTGATTTAAAAATAAAAATATTGTTGATTATATATTTTTTTCAATGGATCCATTAAAATTAGAGGGTTAGGATGGCGTTGTTGTAAAGACAACTTAAACAGATCTGTGAGGAGATGATATAATTTTTAGAGTCTGTTTTTATTACTTAAGCCAAATTACTCAGAAAAGTTCAGAATTTAGTTAAAAAAAACATTTTCGGGAGAATGAAGTACTGAGGCACTGTTGTTATATGCTCGATGGCTTAGCATCCCGGTGATCAAAAATTTGAAAGTAAAATTGTAGAAGGAGGCATCAATATTTTACATCATGATATTGCCTTTAAGGATAGTATTAATAAATATTTCTTATTTAAAATATGTAGTATTAATATGTTCTCATTATTATTATTTATTTCCTTGTGTTTTAAATATCTTACAATAGTATGAAGAAATAAGTATTTTCATAGGTATATGAAATAATAATAATTTTAAAGAAAAAAATGCATAAAATATTATAATTTTTCATTACGATCTTGTGTTTTAAATAGGTATTAATTTTGAAGTCTCGTATTTATTTGAATGGTAAAATAAAATATATTTATAGTTCCTAATCAGTCATCTTAATCACTAATACTTTGACTTAAACAAATTTTCAACGTAAACACATTTTTACAGGGTGTTTAGTAAGTAAAGAAATGGTTCAATTCTTACAAACAATGAGAACAATAGAAATACGTTTCCTTAATTATTGAATACCTGTAGAAACACCATTCGTATTTCTACAAAGATAGAAATAAATAATATCTATTTGTTGTTCTTTTAGCAATGTTAGTATGATAATTACTGATTATAATCAATAAATAATTATTATTTTGATTGAAAAACACATCAAAGCAATTACAAATATTTTTGAAGCGCAAAGTTTCTATGAAAAAATGAAATAAATCACTTATGTTAATCATTAGATTATCATTAAAAAGAATCGGTGGAAATTGGGCACCTACCTAGTAATAGTTTTTAGAAAGTACTTTGAACATTAATAAATATTTTGAAAAAATCTGCTGATAGTTGTTATTTAAATTTTTTATATCATTAAGTTTTTCTTAAAACAAAAATTTCCATTAGTTTATTTTCCAGACTTAACGATTTATAAATGCACACGTTAATGTTTTTTTTTATTCAGACGCTCATTTCGTTATTATTTTATTTTTATTTCTTGTGTAGTTTCTGCGGTACATTTAATACAAAGATCATTTTAGATAAAATCAGTGATCAGTTTATAATTCAGCACAAAATATTATACACACGTGGACGTATACTGCTGACCAACGTGGAACGTAATTTTTAAAATATCCCCTTAAGAATTGATCGCCTAATGTTAGCAGTTTCGGTTTGCGTCGTGACTTACTATATAAGCTGGTATTTTTATAAACATTATAAAACATTTCTTTTTCTATACATCATTTTATTACGAATTAATGCCCTAAATGTTTACTATGTGCACAGGGTAGACTACTGTTTTCAGGTGTATTCAGTTGTCTCTTTAGCGTGTTGGATAATTGCCACAAATAAATCTTTTCGCCATACGATTCGTGTAATGAAACATTAGAGGACCCGTTTTTGGCACACGTTTTTCCGGAACTTATGTTGTATTAGACATATACAAATCGTTATATTTAATTGCACTGTTTGCGATTTGAAAAATACGTACTTTTGTCGTCAATTATATATAAATAAAAGAAGTAAACATGTATCGTCTGCCAGTAGATACAATTTTTTTTAGTAAGCGTTGAGAGAAAAAAACTAGCTTTGAATAACTATTGTCATGCTTCAGTAATATCCAATATAACTATAAATATTATATATAATAATGAGTACTTTTAAGGTCATTCCTTTGGGACTGAAAAAATTAAGTTAAATATATATATATTTTTTTTATAAATATTTGTATAAATTAAACTGTTGTGGAAGTATTATTATACAAAACAAATAGACGTTATAAGTAAAAATAATTAAACCCATTATTTGCAACATGGTAAGCCACTCGGGTAGAAATTAATTTATCATCGCTAATCCCTCTGAAATAAACACCCATAGTTTATGTATTCAATTCTCGGCATTAATTATATATTTTTTTACCCTCATATATTTGTTTTTTCTTATATTATATTTATAGCATCTTCCTTTGCGTTATTTATATCAAAAATTAAGTACAAATTTAAATAGCTGCTGTATACACACACACATTTCTTTCAACGATACGTCAAAAGATCACAAATTGTATCTAGTTGAAGGAATTGCCCTTAAAAATTGAAAAAAGATCTCTCGTTATCTGTAAATGTGGGAAATCTCCAAAAAAATTACAATTTATAAAATTGGTAAATTTTGACATTTTTTTAAATTTAAAACTGTCATAAATTTAAAAAAAATGAATTATATTATTTATATATATAGTATATTAAAAGAAACGAAGCTGCCCTTTCACAAAAAAAAAATGCTATCAATGGCTTATTCTAAATTGAGGTAACAAAATACAGAGTGATTACTTTAAAGCCACTCGATTTATTATTATATTTAAAATCTTTTTAAGGGTGTCAACTTATTTTTTTTAAACGGTACCTAAGTATTTTACCTGATTATGAAATTAAAAATTATCTAATTAAGAAATGACTGGTTGATGACAACTTTTTACCCGATATTTCGGAAGTTATAACTATTTCAAAATAAGGAATGGAGGTGAAGTGTAAATTATGTTATTTTTATCATTATGCATTACTCTGTCCCGCTGTTCCTTCACTTTTTATTTTAAAATGTCAACTTCTAAAGTTTGATTTCTAAAATTGTTTTCGATCAGTATTTTTTTAATTAAATAATTTTTTTTTTTATATAAACTATAGTTAGATATGTATGTTGCTATTAAAAAAAACAAAGTCTTATGTAATGTATATTTAATGAATTAAAAGAAACTTAATAATTAATAAATCAAAAAATATATAAAATTAAAAATTACCGAAAATAATTTTCCGAATATAATTATTATTTTAAGAGAAATCAAGTGGTCAAGACTAAAAGAATCATTCTGTATACAACAACTTTATAAATTATTATAATTTTTTCATAAAAATCATAATAATAAATTTTTAAATATCAATTTAATACTAAAATTAATTATTATAATAAGTATTTATTCATGTATCGTACTTTTGAATCATAAAATAATGTAATCAGGATATAATTAAGGAATAGGAGTTTATATTGTTTTTGAAATAACTCAATAATTCTTTCTCTGAGTTAAATATTATTTACGGATTTATTTCGAAGCATTTTTTTATATTTTGTTTGTTTTTTTTTTTTGGTTCGTTTGACAGTGTTTCGAATTACTGTCTGATATTATTTACACTTGTCCCAACTATGCGCAACGTTGCCGTGACCCCACTGTACTGGGTTTTTTATTATGATATTAATAACATAGAAAAGTGCAACATAATCTTCAGTGATGATTCCTAATGGCATAGACTTGAGTGTGTAAATATATTAAGAGTGCAGGGGAAAAGTGTGCTATTCCATTTGGGAAATTTTTCATGAAAGCAAAAACTAAGTTATAAATTTCTATCCTTTTAGTAGTAAAACAATAAAAGACGCTCTAATATTAGCAAAATGAAAACATTTCTCACTACTTTCATTACTTAATGCTACTGCTAATGGGATATTAAATCAAACCATAAAATAAAAAAATAAATAAAAAATAGACTACTACCATTTTCCCTAGTACTCTTCATTTAAAAAAAAAATTAGTTTATCATTTAATCATAACAATTTATACTTTTTTAAATATATCAAATGGGCTAAATAATATATTAATTTTTTAATTTAGTATAAAATCAGGATTTTTCGCTTTATTAATTGTTTTAATATATTGAGGTTGGATATTGTGTTATACGATAGCAAATTTCAACCCTATAGTGTTCATACTTCCGTCTAATGATGTAGCCGAGTAAGCATTTCTGTCTGAAGTTATTTTTTTTTTAACTCAGCTCTTCAACTTAGCAATGGACCGTAAATATTATTATTTAAATGGGAAAGGTCGTACTCTAGAGTGCGAGACACTCCCGCGCTTAATTACTGTACAACTCTCTCAAATACACGTACATATTCATATGTACACACAAAATGATATGACATGATATGAGGAGTGTCATAGATTATACGTATAAACCACCAAAGCACCGGGAAACATCTGGGATAAATCGGACGTACGTTTAATTGTCCGTTCATTTTTAACCCCTAATATTATGTTAACCCTTTGGGTGTATATAAATGTGAAAATTAGTGTAATAATATACCTACCCCTCCCGGAATTCAACAACAGCCAACAGGTGTTTAAAACATGGTAATAGTTTACAAAAAGAACTATGCATTGTGATAAATAAATAAAACACCAATAATAAAAAATTGCAATTTCGTATAAATTCTTATACATATGGAAGTAAAACATTAATGGACATATGTTTGATTTTTATTAGTAATTTAACTAATGTTTTAAAACCGTACGATTTCCTCTTCAATTGTGTTCACACTAAACACCAGCAGTACTAGATAGACAGTATAAAATATTTTTTTAATAATATCCCTCGTATGGACCCTGTAGATTGAAAAAAGCCACACATTATCTATTAAGAAAACAATATATTTTTAAAGTTAATATTAAGTCTTCCACTATTTTTCAAAAATAATGAAAAAGCCAGCAAAATATTTTGAACAATTTTGATACGAATATGTCAAAGTACAATAAATAAATCGAATAATGCAAAAAAATTTATTAATAGAGGCATTTTTATGAACAATAAAGTTAGTTGAACCAAAAAACAAGTATAATTTCTTGCTTATTTAGGGAAAAAATAATTGTGAGTGATAGTTTCCAACTGCAGTTGTACGAGTTTTATGGTATTGTTCTTGAATTTTAAAATGAGTGTTTACCTTAGAGTTTTAACTCTTTCAAAAAAAAAAAAAAGTTATATATTTAATTTATTTATAATGGAAAAGAAAATATATTTAGAAGAAGAAGAATCCATAAGATTATTAAAATAAATTTCAATTGTAGAATAGTTGTAGATTTAGATTATTGTAGATTTAGTTTTATTTTAGCTCTAAGTAGGTATACTATAGAAATTACCCAATTCAATATATTAAATTAATTTTACAACATGAATTTAATTGTAATTAAACTAAGCTTCAATAATTTTTTGTATGTATAATAAAAATTTTAAAAGCTAACAAATCTTGAATTAGCTTTTAAAATGTTTTTGATAATCGTCCCCAGAAAAAAATTTCTAATTTTTTTAGAACTCGGCAATATATGTCTACTTCTATGCAAATTCTATACAGTGCACTTTATTTTATATAAGAAAAAAAATCATCATTCATTTCCAAATTGAAATTTTAAAACTTTTAATATAACTAATTATTTTTTTAGCTTAAACTACACAACTAATATTTAATGATAATAAAACACTAACTTGCGATTGAATTTATTTTAGATTACTTAGCGAAAATGACAAAAAGCCATTTATAGAAGAGGCTGATAGGCTTCGGGTCATTCACAAAAAAAGGTACCCTGATTATAAGTATCAGCCTCGCAGGCGCAAAGTACCGAAAAACGTGAATAAATCTCAGGATAAATGCCAACTAGACAAAAATGATCAATGTGAACAACAATACAACCAACGTACAAAGCTTAGCCATAACACCAGGTAAAATGGAAAATTAATTTTTATGTTAAAAACTTTAAAACATACAACTCGAAAATTTTTACCATTATTAGCATACCGATACTGATCATTTTATTATAAGAAAATTTACTTATTGTTATCTTATTAGAAGGGCTGTGAATTATGTGTATTTATAAGTTTTATTTGAACTACTTTGAAGGATACCAAATTTATGCAACTTTATTGTAGGATTATATATTAACGCAGAAATATTTTTTTGTTTTAGGGAGAATTAATCCTCTAATCCCCCTCAAACTATAAAATCGTAAAAAACAGATTAATAAGTTTTCAAATCAATTAATACAAATATTCACTAGCTGATGATGTGTTCGAATTAACTTAGTAAAATGTATAAATATAGATAATTCGCAGCCTTATTGATTAGAATATTTTGTTTAAAAACATTTTTATTTTTAATTCTATTCCAAAATTATATTGAATTCTTTATCAAGTTTAATAAGTTAATAAGTTAATTGTTATTATTATTATTATTATTATTATTAATATTTCTATGATTAGTGTTTAAGTTTATATAAGTAGTTATACTAGTTACTTATACTATATTTAAATGTTGAGGTTCATAATCCTAATAATATGTCTTTACTATAGAATCCAGATTTAAATTTTAAATGTACTCTTTTAGCAACAGTAGCCGAATCATTAAACAAGAAATAATTAACTCTAGCTCACCATCAATAAGTAACAGTTCTTCTAGTTCTCCATCTGGACCGTTGACTCCACCCACTACTCCTAATTATTACCCGGCCAAACCTCTAAGAAACAGTTATTGTGACACTCCGTATAACACTTATTGTAAGCAATCATTTTCTTAGATGAAAATAAAATAAAATTTTTTTTGTAAAATTAATTAATTTTACTATATTTTTTTATAGCCGAGGCTGCTATAGATTATAGTTTAGATTTCGGTAGAATGGATGATCTACCAGCTGTCGAAGCTATAGGTGCCGACATGGTAGATAACTCAGAACTGGATCAATACCTGAGACAGTATCCGTCCACATCGTCTGGAGTATGGCCGGACCAAGAACAATTTTATCACCACAACAGGTACCATGAACTTCAACCGAACAGTAATGGTAATGTTGTCGGAAAGTCAAACTTTCCGGCATGCCAGCCCACATTTCAACCACTAAATTATCAATACATGGTTAATAATTATAATTAAATGATTTTTATTTCATAAATTCAATAAAATATATTTATGAATTTTATCACTATTAAAAATAAAACAAAATAACACTTTGGTACACCAATTTTTGCTATTCAATATAATACACTATATGTAACAGTACCTAAATGGTTACTCTTGACTGATATGCAAGGACTAATTTGTTTAAAAGAACACTATATAATTATTGTTAAGAAATAGAAAGTATTTTTTTTATATTTAAGGTACTATTTATGTTATTTTAATAATTAAAAATTTTTATTGTGTAATGTTTATTAATTAAAATGTTTGTAAACTAATTCATGTAATATTCTCGTTTGCCATACTATTTCTACACTAGAATGTGTTTTGAGTTTATTTAATATGTAAATTAAAACGATATTTTACTAAGATATTAGCGTCAACTGTAGACTTTATTATTTTGTGTTTATATTAAACCAACACCGCCAGCCGAGTTCACACGATCTAACTGCTTTAATAATCTTAAGCTCCAATAACCGTTCACCTACGCACCGCATATTATTGAGATAAGCAAATACCTTTGATGGTAAGAGAATCGCCAAAGCTACTATTGGAGCACACTAGTTGTGGGAAGCAAATTCTTTAAATAATATGATGTTATCAATGAAGTTATTTTCACGGACGGTGCATTATTGAATTTTTCATTCATTGATTTACTTTGACAATCTATAATTGGCGTGAGAATTTTATTTTACTTTTTGATAATAAACTATATGATAAGAAAATGTTTTAATTTTTTTTATATTTATTTGATAACTTATTTTGTTGTAAGAGATTGCAATTCAAATTTTAATACATCAAAAGAGCCTTTCATTGCTTATAAAACAACGTACCTGAATGATTTGAAAATATTCTTAAAAACTTTGGCTACACTTTCAAGTAATATGTTATTTTGCGAATAAATTAGTAAAATACTTTGACATATAAATAAATTTTTATTTTTCAAAAATTATAAAATACTCAGTTATTTATAAAAAGTATTTAATTATAATTTAATTTAAATAAAAATCTATATTAAACCAGGGTTGTTACGTTTTAAACATATAATGCTTAAATATGTTTAAAATTAACAAATTGTGATTTATACAATAACGATATTTGTTAATATTTAATGTAATTTCAAAATTTATATTAGTCTTATAGAACAATTTAAACTGTTTAATTATGGTTTAACTGTAATTTTTTTTATATGTTTTTTTATCAACCCTATATAAAACTCGATATTTTTATCATATTTTATCGTAAGAATTTGAACATTTTTTTTATTATCAAAGAACATTCGATGTCCGTAATGAAATATTTTATTAACCATTTTTGTAATACACGGCTAATATAAAGTAACTAATGTATGTATTATATTTCTATGGCAATTACCGTTCAATTAGTATAATAAACGAAATTTTTGAATTATTAAATTTGAAATTTTCAAAATATGTTTTATTAAATAAGTGTTGTTAATTATTTAGATTTAAATTGTAACTTTTATGCACATTTATTTTTAAATTATTTATGTTCATCGTAAACTGTAATGTGAATCATTTATATTTAATAATTGATTTTTTTAAATATTATTTCATTATGTACTCGATTTTTAAATGGAAAATACTGGAAAGATAAACAAAGCTGTGTTTATTCGGAGCCAAATTTTACTTCGAAAATTTCTGTGGACGAAATATGATTTTAAAATCAATATTTCATTCAAAGAAACCTTTAAAAGTATATTGAAAAATCATACTTGTACATTAAATTCTTCATATTTATCTTCGTTAAAAATTGTCTGTCGAGAACCGTCCGTGTAAATAATGTTTCTGCTTGTAATACTGCATTTATCATTAAACAACATAAAATTACTTTGTTCCAATCGAGCATTGGTGTATGTATAACGTAGTACCTTATATATTATGTATGACGGTATGGTATATTTTTATCGTGTGGAATTGAAAACCTAAACTTTTGTTTTATTTGAAAAGTTTTTAATATTCAGATATACACGCAAATCAGTTTAAATAGCAATTCGTTTCTAAAATAGGCGATTTTTTAACCTTTATCCATCAAAGACCTAGTGTAAGATTAACTTTGCTAAATAACTATTAGTTTAACTCGACTGAATTATTCTAGTTGCAAGTTTGTATTAGATTATCATTGCGGCGCTTCGGTTGTATTTAAATTAAGTACCATGAGTTCTTATCCCCAACTACTTTGAAGTGGAATCTATAAACTGCTAAAATGTATCTGTGGAAAATGTATTTTACATTGAATCATCTAACAAGCACAGACACGAATTCATCAAGCGAAAAATAATCTTAATTCGAAAATGAATTTGAGTGAATTTGTAATGTTGAATTGATTTATTCTCATTAGAGATACCAAAAAGATAATTATAAAATGTACCTCTAGGCATATCCCTGTAATTCATGAAATCAGCATAATAAAAATTTAACTAAAACACAGATACTTTTGGTTAAGGGACGATTTGTTCGGTTGTTCAGGTTAGTCCTTTGGGTGTCCTCGGAGAATATTTTGTACGCCACCGGAGCATTACACAGCATACCAACAAAATTTACGAGCAACATAATTTGATTTAAAATGTGCGATGGTTTGTTTCTAGACTTGTATATGTATGTTTTTGCATCGTTATTTATCGTGATAAGCCCCAAGGAAATAGAGCTCACGCTTCAAGTACTCCATTTTTACACAACTTTTGTTACACACGTGTGGATTGAGACAAGTTAAAATGCAAATGTTTCAAGCTTAAATAACTCTACTAAACCGTATTCAAATTGGGGATACTAAACTTTCTGCGAAGCTAAACTACAGTTTAAAAAACAGTAACAGTTGAAAAAAGTTACACCTTAGGCTAACTAATTTCACGATTGAGTGGATACATTTTTTACCAAAATATTTTTTCTGTAGTTATTTTATTTTCAATTATTAATTTTCGTTGTTTCTGGAACAGTCCCAACCATTAAAATGAAACAAAAATCACATTTTATGTTAAACTGAGTAGGTAGAGGAAACTTAACATAGTTGAGTGAGTTTATGTTTAACTTGATTAAATGTTTTGTTTAACAACTTCCTTAATTGGTTATGTCAGAAAACATAACGGAGTGTTATGTTTTGACGTCTCATTTATTTAAGTTTTAATACTCAACATAAGAAATATAAAAATTTATCCTGGATATTTTAGTCATAAACAAAAAAAATTTTTACTTTAAAAACTTTTGATTTATTTAGTTAGAACACTTTGGTACTTTTAATTTATACAAATCTTAGTCCATAAACTTTTTAACTTCTTTCATGTATTATTTTATACATAGCCAGCTTTGCACAACAGCTCTAAAAATAAAATTTCATTTATACATTTTCGACTTCATCTACTGAAAAATATTGAGTTATATATATTAAAGATCAGTAAATTTCTAACACAAGATAGTAAAGAATTTTATTTTCATTTTACTGGTGCCAATAGTGTTGTCATGTATTAGATTTAAAAACAAAAACAATAAAATAAATTTTTCTGTTGGTGAATTCTTGTTGTAAGCCAACAATATTTTGAAAGATCATATGTATCATGTATATGATATATCATATAAAGGTAACAACAACAGTTTAGTTCGAAAGTGACGTTTTTGTTATTATTCAAATATGCTGTTAAATCGGAAAAATATCACTTTGATATTTATTTTTTATTTATATTAAAAAAATATTTAATATATGATAAAACGATTAGATAAAGTTTTATAACAAAAATGCATTATTTGAAAGGACTAGAGGAGGGATCGCCCTGAGCAAACATAAGATTATCACATAGCACATTTTCTGTTAATAACCAATAATATGAATTATTATTATTTTTTTATTAGTAATTAACTAAGATTCTAACACCATTTCCATGGATACAGACAATATTTGTAGATAACAGAGCTATATATTATTTATTTCCATATCTGGAACCCAACCAGTACTATATAAAGGAGTATATTCTACAGGAAAATAATTCAGAAATGAGTTGTATTCACAGTAGTATGGTGACACAATTAGAACAGTTATTGAAGTAAGTAAAACAATGGATTTTTATTATCTACGGCTCTATACTACAAGGTTATTATAATTATTTAACAATTTGAGTGTGAATTTTTACTATGAAATTGTGTAAACCATTTTGTTCTGTGAAAATAATTAATTCTAAGTATTCAATAATAATGTTGGTAAAATGGAAAATCGCGAATGGTTTATTATATTTTTGTTTTTAATAATATTAAGGAGAGTAAGAGTGTTATAATTCCGCTCACAAATAAATAAAATTTTTTTCAGACGCCCATCCAAAACATTTTTTTTTCGATATCTTTTTTTTTTATCTCATCAATATTCTAATTATTAGTGAAATTTTTTTATGAGCAAAAAAATGGCAATACATTAGCATTCGTGTGCTATATTTTTAAATAAGTCTCTGCATTAATGAATACAAAAAATATGATTTTTTTCATTCTTGAACATATTTAATTTGCTGTCTGAAGTTTTTTATATCGATGTGTAATAAAAAGAACTTCATAACATAAACGTCTTTTTACGTTATCAAATTATTTGTATCGTAAAAGTATATCTGCTAATTTATAAAATATATCCTTTTATCATTACATATAATAAAATATGATTTGAAACTGACTGAAGTCCATTGATTAATTAACAATTTTATAGAAAATGTTAAAATTAATTTCATCAAATTTTTCGTGTTAACATTTTGCTTTATTTTTTCTCGCTTTTCACAGCCCATTTAAGGTCATTACAACATTTTTGAAAGTGGAATCTTAAATACTATAAAAATAAATAAATCAACGCGAATACAAAGAAAATTATTTGTATAATATTTTTCTATACAACAATAAATATGCATATTTCTTTTATAAGTTCAAAGAGATTTACAATTAATGTCATGGTGATCCATTCTTTCTATAGTCGTTGTAACTATTGCGTTAAAACATACAGTAACCTTAGAGTAGTGTATAAGAATCGCAAAAAAAAAAATACGATAGAAATGTTGTTTTGCGTGTAACTCTTGTATTAAGGATAAGAATCAACTATTTTTTGGCAGATACCACACGTACGATTTTTTTAATGCGCCTGTGCTATGACTACGGACGGTGTGGCAACTGTGTCAAACAGGCAGAATCGGATCTTGGCAATGAGCAACAACAGGATACTGCAACCATTATGCTTGTATTAAACAATATATATTAATTTGGTAGTAGAATAGAAATTTCCTTTTGAATTTTTAAGGAAAAAATGATCACATTTTCATTTTATTTTAAACATGGCTTTTCGTTAACGTAAACAGAAACAAATTTATCTTTTAGTCTCTTCACTAATAGGTTCACATAAAATCACTAAACAGTTAATACTAAATGTTTTTTTTTTTTACAAATTTTGTAACGAAATAAATGACAATAATCGTTTCAATGATTTTAATTATCATTCATTTAAGGTAATATGAAGTAAAAAATGTTGAGCTTTCCAACTATTACCTATATTTAATAATAAAGGTATACATATGTATCTTAGAAATTAATAAATGTATAACTTTATTAACTTTAATCGTAAATAACTACAGCATTTTTAAGGGTATAAATAATTATTATATGGTAATAATGAATTGTATTATAGTGACAGTAGTTCTATTCAAAAAATATTAGACTTTCTTATTACGATTTCATAGAAACATGAAAATTATTATCCACAACAGATACATAAATGAACTGTGCGTGATAATAGCAAATCAATAAAAAATATATAATGGTAATGTATCGTAGTAATAAACGATACGTGATGGGATATTTTTTAATTAACGTTTCAATTTACACCCATATAAATAAAAAGTGTGTACACTTTTTTGTTCCGTCTTCATTTTTCTCTAAACATTAATCAAAGTTTTACAGAATAAAACAAGTTGAGATACCTAGTGCATCGTTTGTAACACAATGAAAGCACACAGTTATTTTAATCAACCACCATTCATCCTCGGCTTAATATTCATATAATGTTTTTATTATCTTGTAAAACTTTTACGGTATGAGCCTTTTTTTATATAAGGTAATTACTAGGTCAAGTTAACTGATAAAAATCGCATCAAGTAATAAGCAAGTTATTTATTAATAGCTAAGCACTCAGTTAGTTTGTTATTTTGTGTACAACTTGAGAATAATAACGTCCCTGAAACCAAAGGTAATTTTTGTGTTATGTTATACAATGTACTCTGTGGTTTATTTTTTAGATCTGTTTCTCTAGCAGAAACGTTTTTAAACAAAGCATTCATGAACTACACACAAACCTTTAACCATAAAAAGTTTCAACAAGATATTCTTCAACTATTCCATTATTGTAAAGCTCTTTTATTTTTGTCCCTTTATTGTTAACGATTTCACACTACAACACAATCATCCTAAAGCTAAAAAACTTTAAAGTTATTCTATTTCATTTTTTAACAAATAAGAAATTATTTTAATACATAATGTTTTATTAAGCGTTTTTGCCGTTAAACGAAGGAATAAAATGATGAATTTTATTTTAAGTTTATTGTTTTATACAAACTTAATAATTAATAATGCTAAAAAAAATTAGTCAAATTAAATACAAAATAATACTTCCAGAATAAGTGCAATTTACAACTTGATCGAGTCTTTTCAACAAAATGTTTAAATCGATTCAGTTTTCTTTCCTAATCATGAAAATATAAAAATTCTTTGTTGAAAAAGCTTAGTTAAAATGTCTAAAATTTCAAGGTTATCTCCCCATCGTTATTAACTCAATATTCGCTACTTGAATAGTAATAAAATTTATAAACATAGTTAAATTTTTTGTCACAATAGAAATCAGTTTTTTTGTAATAAAATAAATGTATTGTAAAAAGCAATCCCTTTTACTCTCGACAGTCAAATATATGCCATTGTCACGAACAATTGCTTTCGGAAATGATGAAAACTTGAAATTGTCATCTTCAAAGTATTTTCAATAGATGTTTAAATTCTTTTTATATTAGTTTAATTTAGTTGAACACATTAGATGTAAATTGTTATTATATTAATAATAGATTTTGTTGTTTTGCATCTATCAAATGAATGTTAACATAGCATAATATAATAAATGTTTTTAATTTTTAGCAAGTTATTCATCTTTAAAATTAGTTGTTAAAAAAAAAGTTTATTTAAACACTATTAAAAGTGTTATGAATATATTTATCTAAAAGCCTTAAACGGGTTGATATAACTAATTGTTTTGATTGCCATTAAAAAAAGACAAAATATTTGTTGACATTCGGGGATTTAATTCAAAATGGTACACTACATGTTTTTATCATCATAAAATGGTCTCGGCGAGTATGTTTCATTAAGTGTCGTCATAATTTAATTTCATAAAGCTATCGAAAATCCCACCGTTGGTGATAATCTCACCATTGTTTTATTTCCAAAGGTTGTGTTTTTATTTATTTTTTGCTCGTCATAATAATTCATAAGGAGGAATAACTCCGAGAAAACATGCGGTCGGGGATTGTGATTGGAGACGATGCAGCCGTGTAATAACACCGTTCGCCTTTACCCCATCCGCGCGGGTTGATTCGGAATTCGACTCGGTTCGTGTACGTTTTGTGCTTTTATCGCATAAACGAACGACTTAAGTTCGTATGATAACGAAACAAGCGAATACAATATGATGTACAGAAAACACGGATTAGTGCATTGCTATCCAAAGCTCACAGTGACACGCCGCCAGATCTATCCGAACCGCACAGACCGTCACGTATCTATTGTTGAACGTGTAGGATCAATTGTGTTGTAATAGTTGTCGTTTGAAGAGAGATTCGCCCAGACAATTACACTGTGGGATTAAGTATTGGTATTCGATGAAAACGCCATGTAGCTAACATAACACAACGTCTCGGCGGAAAACTCGAGGGCGAAATTGTTATTCCACTGTGGCAATACAAATACGGTGGTCGGTGGTGGTCAGAACTCATACAGTGCGGAACTAACAGCTGCCCGGACTATGATTAAATTTTTGAAGATGTAATGGAGTATGTGTAAGGATGGAGTTTTAGACGGTATTTTATTATGTGGATGATGCGGCGGAAAGGCGTCGGACGGGATCGAAAATAGGCGGCGGCGACGGGCGCGCGCAAAGGGTCGACCGCGTTTTCCCAGGTCGTCACGAAAAATTCTCACCATGTTGGCGGCAGGCAGTACTATTCGATCCACCGCCTCTGTCGAACGTCCGGCCATTCTTCGGGTCCAATGGACTTTTTTCGGGTTCATCATGGCAAAACCGGCCATCGTATGTTGACCCGACACAGTTAACACTCGTATGATATGGACCCCTTCCATGACCAAAATCATTTATCGCGACATCGACTCTATCGGTAAGTGTTAACAAATTTATTTATGTAAATATTTAAACGTGTTCATATATCACGTTACTGCGATCAAAAAAAATAACAATTATTTTAAACTCGGTTTTTATTGTCTTTTATTAAATTTAATTGATTTTTTTTTTTTTTTCAGTTGGGTTATATGAGTCTAAAAGCGTTTTTTACATTCAAATAGTCTGATAAAGATCTGGTCGGTCGTTGTTCGGTACATTTTCCGTCATTTCCGTTTGACGTATAATATATCATATTATAAAGTATAATAGCAGTGACTAGGAGAAGGGATGAAGCCTCGGGATTTATCTCTGTAATAGATGTACAATATTATGTGACATATACGGGGTAAGTGCGTCGTAAATGTGGGTCAAATCCCTATAGTTGATGCTGTGTGCGGTTTCGATACTTGGGGAATAATAATACAGTAATGCCACCAATTATCATCGATAACTCGCAATGTATGGCGTTTCAACATTCTTTCACGGCAATAATAATGCAATTTAACACATCAGAAAGAGCACCACTACGATTACGTTGTCCATGTAACGTACGCACTTAAGAAGTTATAGACTTTTATTTTTAATAATCAAACCGCACGTCTTCAGGTGCTTTTATATATTTCCGTCACATGCCGCCGTCGAGTTTATAGATCATAAAATATGTAATGAGTGTTATTAAAAATTCCTCCTAACACTAACAATTGATTTCCTCGCCGTTGATGTTACCACTCGATAAGAACGTGTCAAGAGACTCAGTTTCTCCCCAAGTGTGTACTGATCAAAAGAAATAATTCTGACAAATTCACGTAGTTGACGTGGTATACCTATAAAACTTTCAATAACGATTCGCTAAAAAATAGGGCTCTCCTACGTTTTATGGGTTTGTAAAGGTACTTGAAATGTCTATATTTTGTCGTAGTAAAATAACTCACAATGACAATCCGAGCTGCACATGATTTATTGATTGTCATCAATAATGTTTCAATTCTATTATCTTTCAGATCTGATCCCTGAAAAACATGAGCGTAATTAAAGGATTGACGGCGATGACGGTATTGATCTGGACAGTAGGAGGGTCATCGTCAGTGTCGAGCTGTCGGATTTCCGAATTCCAATGCAAGTCCATAAATCGTTGCATCCGATTGGATGAATACTGTGACGGCAAGAACGATTGCCCTGACAGATCGGACGAACCTCCTCAGTGCACCGGTAGGAAAAAACCTTATAATATTTCTACCTTGGTTTAATTTACTGTCAAAACAATTGATTGTGCGAAGGGAAAGGCAATTTTATTTCACTTAAAGTCCAATTATGCTTTATTAAACTAATTATTGAATAAAATTACACCTAATAATTCAAGTCCTGCAATGAAAAATGAAATAATAATGCTAATGGTGTGTGGCATTACAAATAATTTTGAAATATGTCTCAGTTTCTTAGTTGCTGAAATCTATCGTCGGACACATTTGAGGTAGTAAATTATTTCGTTAGTTCTATTCACAACCATCGAAACGAGTTAAAGTTTCATGAAATACTGTTCAAACTTAATTTCTTCACTAATTATTTACAAAAACTTTTCTTCAGGTGAAATTATTTTTATATTTCCTGTGCGATATTGATCGACGCAATAGAAATAATATTGAATCTTAATACTTGTTAAAAAAACAATAATTTGTGTTTTTACGATTTCATACTAACGTCCAATGATATTTGAATAAGTCCATCTAGACCTTTTAATAAAACACACAATAGTTATGTACGGATGTTTATTATTCAAAGTTTGGTAATGGCTTTTGCCCGACTTCGACACATGTTTGCTTATATTAACATATTTCTATCGACAAAACTGCGGTCGATAATTGTTACAATAGAGTTTTCTTGTTTATGAGATGTAGTGACTAGGCAAAGGTATTCAAGTATTATATTATATCCAGTGAACTATTAGGACTAAAATTCAAACCGTACAACTTACCTGTGTATCGCGTTGGTGTTAACCACAAATTTGCGCCTCTGTTCGTTTAAACGTCGCCTTATTCGATTAAATGTAATACTCGACAAAGTTATAATATTTTTCTACGGAGAGAGTTTAATAATATTTGTATGTATACAAGCCGAGGGTTATTAGAATAATATCTGTTGATTTAAATCGGTTTCAACAGATGCTCGAGATGGATTAATTCAACGTCTTAGTTCTAAATTTTGCGGATTCAACGTCAAGTTTTTGGGATTGTTTCACTGCTGACTACATTAAATTCTCTTATATTTTGTACTTAACTTATGTGTTTGAGTTATATTATTGAATTAGAAGTTTCAAACGGGAAAATGTAATTCTCTCTTAACTTTGTTATAAGAATCAGCTTTGAATTTTTCTCTTTTGATTATAATTAAAAATTTACAAAAGGCTTCTCCTTTTCTAACGTGGCCGTACCCGGCGTAGATTATTGAAAATTTAACCAAAAAGATCCCGAGAGAAAAAACAATAAAAATTGTATGCCGAGCGAAAAAATACTTGTTTTTTAAACGTTCTCAAAAACGTAATTGTTTGTGTTATGAGTATACGCATCAATCTTATTTTCGCTTTTACATTATTTCTTTCTCAGAATGAAAAAAATGATGATGAAAATCATAGAATAGCCCGGAAACTATATTAGAGTTGGACTGATACCTTAATCTTTTACCCTAATTAGTCGGTCGTAAATTGCACGGTAATAACAAGACCTTTCTGGGAGTTTTCATCACAGCCTAAGCGTATTTACTAGGTAATGCACTTAACGTGAACCACCAAATTTAATTCTGGGGAAAAGTTTTTAATTTATAACCAAATTAATTTTGAAAAAATATTGTCTTTTAACAAATTTCAAGTTAAACTTAAAAATAATATTAATAATGATTCACAGTAAAAAATTATAACAATTAATAATGAGCGTTATGAAATTTATTACATTCATAAAAATCATACTAATAAGTATAATTTTTAGTTACATATTTTATCAAATTTTTTCATAGAAAAAAATAAAACTAAAAAAGATATAGATTTTAATAGGGTTTTCAGTTAAATATTTTTTTAAGTGTTAAATTAACTGATTTAATTTTAAAGATAATGTACATTTTTGTTCATAAATATTAATGCTTTTAATATGGTGTTCGTTTTCCCCAAGGCCACAACGTTTTTAATACTAAAAAACATCAACCCAAAAGTACCGGATGCGCCTTTTTGCTCTCATACACTTAAATTTTGTTATTCATGCATTGTATCTATTATAAACTATTATATTCAAGGGTCAAAACAGGTATCTTCTATAAACTGGCAAATAGCATTAAATTCATGTAAAAGTATAATAAATTTAGCATTCAAATGTTATGAGGATAATTAATTACTTAATTCTTGAACAACTCAACATTTAATGTAATTCTACAAAATTCTTTCTGATATTATATAAAAATGAAACTGCTAACAAAATTCTGATATATAAATTTAAGATTAATATTATAAAATTAACAGTATACAAAAAAAAAAACATTTAACTTTGTCTTTAGCTGGAAAATAATGGCTGTATCATTATGTATTTATTTATGCGTGTGCGTTTACATCTATAAGCACAAATAAGAGAAAATAGGTTATAAAATTATTTTCTCGGTCAGTAGTAGAATATAAAACAGGAGCAATATCCCCCAATATAATTTCTTGTAAGTAATCTATAACTTAAGTTTGTAGTTGAGACAAAAATGAATGCATTCTCATCCACATTCCTCGAAATGTTTCATTTTGGCGATAGAAATAGTAATAAAAAGTTACCACATAACATTAACCTGCCACGTTATTAGTTGTAGTAAAACTACTTTTTATAAAAATGTCTTCTGTGTACACGTAATGTCAAAGTAGCACTTTAAGTAAAATTATATTTTCTATTATGTTACTAAGAAAATTTGTATCATATTTTCACAGTTAAATCATCATATTTACACAATTCTTAATGACATTTTTTTGTTAATAACATTTTACATATACATATTAATGCATGATAGTTAACAATATTTAATAAATGTATAAATATAATATATTTATATTATATATATATTAGGGTGGTCTTTATTTGACCAATTTAAAAAAATCGAATGGGAGAATCACACATTTTGTTCTTTGTAATAAATAAAAGTTTTTCGTAAAATTTGATTATTCTAGGTTAACACCTTCACATGCTTCAAAGGGGTTGAAAAATGACGAAAAGGGGTAGAACTATAGTATTTTGCGTATATCTTTTAAAATATTAAGATGAGAGAAAAAACTATAGAATTAATTTTGTAGGAAAACATACTAGCAAAATACAAGGTTCTTACATATATTTACTTATCATTGACCGCATACAAATTAAAAAATTTATTGACAATATCTCTCTAAATATTGAGAATACAACAACATTGAAAGACATAAAATATATTTAAAAATACACAACTAAAAAAAATGTTATTATGATTTTTCTATAATACTGAAATTTAAGCGTATAAAGTAAAAATTCATTTAATTTTTGTAAAAAAACCAAAAATTATTTTACTAGGTGCATGTTTTTCTAAGTAGTTTTTAATTTATTACTCAAAATCAATTTTAAATAAAATAATTTCAAATGCTGCGTTAAAAAAAATTTTGGAAACTGAAACAATTTTTTCTAGTGGTTGGGATTTGAACCTAATTTACCTCACCATCATGACTAAAGCTTTCCCACTGTGTTACCTGGTAACCGAGGATACCTAGTGAAATTTCAGTATCTTAATTTGTTTATAACACAATTCATTTTTTTTAATAATAATATTTTTAGTAAAATTATTATAATACTAAAAATTAGTTATAACTTTTTCTTATTTTAAAATAAATTATTTTCAATTATATTTTTAAATAATATTTATAAATAACTTTTGTTTGTAAATATTTGAAATTAAATGATTATATTTATCGGCTTGTATCATATTTTCATTCAGTTTTTCTTTGCCTTATTCCAATGACTTTTAAATTATTGGTACTATGTAAAAGATGATAATAATCTTATCACTTAAATTTTCATTTTAAAATCTGTCGCTATTTTGAAGTTAATATTCAAGATTTTTTTTTAACTTAGTGTATCATAGTTTTTTTTTTTAATGTCGCGACAGCCTATTTTTCTTATAGGTCATATAATCAGTCAAATAACAGGTAATAAATTATCTTCCAATTTTGACTGCTTACGTGCATTATTTTACAATATGCGGATTGTACACTTAAGTTTTAATGATAGTTCTGCTCTTGTTGCTGATTAAAGCTTGTTATTTTGGAAAAAGGCAAGAATACCTTCAAAATATTACTGTGATATAGTTCGAAGATTAAAAAAATTATATGATATTGGCGAAGTTGAGAAAAAAATAAATCGAGAAAATGTTGAGAAAACAAAAACAGACCAATGAAAATTTGTTTAAAAACCATTTAAATGATTTGTTTAACATTGCTCATGAGAATGCTTTGAATATGATTAAAATTGAAGAGGATAAACAGTTTTTAATTTTACAAAGGCAAAAAGGGCGTGTTTGCTGTATAGGAGGCGTAGACAAAAAACTGAGTGAAATTGAAAAGCGGAGAGCTCAACAAAATTTAAGATAAGTAATATGGAATCTAACATCTACTATGAATCCTGGTAAATAAATTAATTCCTGAAAAATTAAAAAAATTAATGCCAATTATTTGTAATCTTATTTTTTGCTTGGACCCATCTAACAGAATTTACTTGGAAAATAATATTTCAAGCGATGATGAGGAAAATATATTAAGTTCTGAAAATGAAGACATCGTAGTGCCTCTGAGTTCTAAAAGAGACCGAAAAGAAATCATGTCTAGTCGTTTAGCATCAGCCTTAGATAAATGTAAGATTAGTGACAGAGATGCAATAANGCCTTAGATAAATGTAAGATTAGTGACAGAGATGCAATAAATTTAATTAATAATAGCATTTGTCGAAATATTTTAAAAAAATGTAAAAGATTACGCAATAAATCGTTCGTCAATAAAAAAAAGTCGCGAAATTTTTCGTGAACAATTATAGTTTGAAATAAAAAAATCCTTCCTTTGGTTAAATTTAAATTTTGCAGACGTCATTGGGATTCAAAAACCCTACAAAATTTAACTGGAACGGAAAATGTGGACAGATTACCAGTTTTTATAACAGCACCAAATGTAGAACCAGTTCTCGGTGTCCTACAAATATTATCTAGCACTAGAAAAGAAATATCATCGGCTATTTATGATATATTAAAAGATTGGGATTTGTTAGAAAAAGTACAAGCGTTTGTCTTCGACACAACGGCTTCCAATAGTGGTAGGTTAAATGGATTATGTGTGCTTTTAGAGCAAATGTTAAACCAATCAATATTTTTTTTGGCTTGTTGACATCATGTCTTAGAAATTGTTTTGCAATCCGTTTTTTCGTACTCCAAACTAACAGCAATGTCCGGCCCCGAAATTTCTATTTTTTAAACGTTTCAAAAACCTTTGGAAACAAATAGACCAAACACGTTTTAGTACTTATAAAAGCGATATAGAGGTTAAACAAATATTGCATAGTGTAACTAATGGTAAAATATTGTATAGAAAGTTTAAATGAAAATCAACCGAGAGACGATTATAAAGAATTTTTGGAACTTGTTATTATTTTTTTGGGTGGTAGACCACCTAGAGGTATTCACTTTCTACGTTCAGGAGCTTATCGTCATGCTAGGCGGATGTGTAATGGAATTTATTGTTTATAAATGTTATTATTTCACTAACAATTTACAATAACAAAAGCAGAAATTATATCATTAAAAACAGTGTGTTGTTTTATAGTTAAGAGTTTTGGTTTAGATGCCCATATACAATTTAAGCACATTATAATGTCATTCTTTTTTTAAGAAGACTTGAAAATTATAAAATTGATGACCCAAAAGTGGCTGAATTCGTAATAAAAAAACCCTCAAGAAGAAGATTAGTGTTACAGTGATCAACCAAAAAGGTATATTTTAAAAGTCGAAGACGTTTTTAAAGAAAAATTTACCAGTCGAATTATTGACGAATAATCAAAAAACTTTATTCAAAAATTCCGACTAAATGTGGATTTTTTAAGCCAAAATTCAAAAAATTAGCCTAACATTGAAAGTTACGTAGAAGCCAAAAATATTTTAAAACATTTATGTGTTATAAATGATGCTGCCGAACGAGGGGTAAAGTTAATGGAAGAATTTAACACCCGGCTTACTAAAAATGAAAATGAAAAACAGTATGTATTGAAAGTATGTTCTTTAATAACAATTTTTTTGAAAATCAAAAGTTAAAATGCAATTTTTGTTATTTTAGGTGATAGAGCAATATCGTAAAAATTACCCTAGTCATAGAAAAGATATTCTAACAAAAGATGCTCAACAATAATATTATATTTAACTAATGTACGCAGTTAAAAATAAATCTATTTTCAGCTGAAAAAAAAGGTTATTTAAATAGTAGTTGATAATACATTAATTAAATTAAAACAAATAGAAGTTTGAAATAAATTTTTTGAATTATAGTGAAATAATTTTTGGTTTTTTTTTATAAAAATTAAGTAATTTTTTTACTTTATGCACTTAAATTTCAGTATTATAGAAAAAATCATAATTGCATTTTTTTTTAGTTGTGTATTTTTAAATATATTTTATGTCTTTCAATTTGTTGTATTCTCAATATTTAGAGAAATATTGTCAAAAAATGAAAAACAATTTTTTTTTTTTTTTTGAGAAAAAAAATTTACTACATAGAACAAAATGTGGGGTTTTTCCATTCGATTTTTTAAAGTTAGTCAAATAAAGACCACTCTAATATATATATATATGTTTAATAATGATAATTATAAGTATTATAAAAAAAAAAATTATTTAAATGATAATCTGAACTTCAATAAAAGAAAGGAAACAGAACGACTGGAAACGCTGATTAAACTGCGGCTTTTATAAATCTACAGTTGTCAGCTTAAGAGTAATCAATATTTCATTAATACTTTGTTTTAGTCATTAATACAATTTCTCCATCAACGTTAGTCTCGTAATTAAATAACAATAATTCTATTATTTTCGACTGAACGATTTAAGCGTTGATTATAAAATAAATATTTGCAATATTTTTTTAATTGTATTCATTTTTGTTTACACAATTTTATTTGTTAACGTTATTAACAAAAAATAAATAATTTTTTAGCATGCAATAGAACGTATTATGGTGAAATAGGGAAATCTTACAGACTGACAGTGAAGAAAACTAAGGATGATAGACCATTTCTATGTCATTTAAGTTTTACAGCAAGTGGACAAGAGCTCGGTGATTTAATTGAGGTTAGTTGATTTTGTACGTAATGAAATACTTTAATAGAATACCATAATTCTATTCTTAAGTTAAATTATTATATTCGATTGTAAAATAATTATTATTAAATTAGGGTTTTTAACCCTCTACTTGAGAATAACTTGTAAATTTGACTATAAAATACATACCAACATGACAAACTATAATGAAAATACACTATAAAAAATTAGTTGTCACTTAACCGGTGATAATATGTAAAAGTTATTATTTTAGTGTGTTAAAAGTTTAGCTTTTTTGGTTATTACATGTAAAACATAGTCAATTGTTTTTTTATAATGATCTACACTCAAATATTTATAAACGTTTATTAGATTTCCCAATAAATCTTATTCCCATTTATATCTAAAGTTAAAATATTTTTTTTTACGAAGGTATGCTTAGAGCACACAACATTTAAATTATTCACATTTATTTATACTGAAATAATTAAATGGATAAATCACTGAACATTTTTGTACCGTCAGAAACTTTAAATCTACTACAGTGAAACTGTTTAAATAAATTTTAGTTGAAACTTGAAGTTTACTGCCTAAATTCCGTTAATGACATTTCATATTAAGGATCGTTACAATCAAATGTCAATTTAAGTCACTCGACGAGTGACATTTAACGACAACATGAAATTTGTACATTTTGTTTAAGATAAAGTAATTCAGTATTTGTCATCTAGTTATTATATTTGATTTTTTTTAAGCCTTACACAAGTAATACGGTAAAATTAGTATTTATACTACGCATTTTATAGTGCCAGTGGGATTGCTCTTCATTTTTCAAATATTATTTACAAAAGAAATATCAATCATATACGACTGTTATTATTGATGATAGTAGAAAAATGAATTTAATGAAACATATTTTAATGTAGGAACATTATCATGGTGAATACCAAGTTTTTCCTGATAATTTCTAGTTAATATATACACGTACTCGTGAACAGCTTTTGTTATTACATTATACACAAGGTATCAATTTCTACAATATTAATGAAATTCATAACATTAGATTATGCCGTAAAATCTTAACGCAATTGCATTATCATCTCAATAATTGTAATTATTTCTCTCCAAAGAGAAATGTTGTTCATAACTTTGATATAATTAAAAATAAAGCTTATTTATAATGCTAGTATTATAATTTACTATTAATACCAAGACTTTAATATCTTGATACCCTTTATAATTTTTTAATATGATTAAATCAACATACAAGTTACAATTTATACTAGCTTGCCTATTAAAAACTATTAAATTGAGAAAATATTAAAACAATAACAACTTTTAATGTATTATTTTAGAAGATAATAATATATTTTATACCTAAAGGGGAGATGAATCGTGACTAAGTAGAAATAAAAAAAGAATTATATCTGAGCTTCATTCTCAGCACTATCGTAAAAAACTTAAAACAAATTTAAAAAATATAATTGATCAGTCATTATCTCGATTAGATGATTTTTTAATTGCAAAACTCTGCTATACACAGTAGGGTGACAATTAATTTTAAGATTTTTCTTAGGTTCGACACTATAACGTTTACATTAACACTTGGCGACATGAGCACGAAATTTAAACTTGCCTATTTTTTAAGAAAATTAACAATTAATCTTATTGTCTAAACCAAATATTTAAAACTTTCAGGTAACATAAAATTTATTTTATTTTATAACAATACATAGTATACAATATTATTTTTGTATGTACATCTACGTTATCTGCCTAAGTGATATCTTAGCACTAATATCATTAATATTATATTGAAATTGAATAACTCTAATCTTATCAAATACCCTGGTTATATATTAAATATAAGAGTTTAAACTCTTAAAACACAAATAAATTAAAATACAATTTTTGTACTCTTGGAACTATCTGTACATTTTAAATTGTGTTTTAACTTATGTTACATTGTGTTTATTTAAAAATACAGATTCTATATTTTAAAAATGTATCTAAAAAAAAAATATATACATTATACATTATACATTATCTAATAATACAAAAACAAAATTTTTCAAAAAATTAATAGTTAAAATTTAGATATTTTTTTTGGTCAACCCATAAAACTGGCTCAAAAACTTAACCTTTTCTTTTATATAACATGATACAAAATGATTTATTAAAAAAAAAAACATTTATTGATTATAGTTTAGTAATTTCTTTTTTTAATACATATTTCAAAAGTTGACACTACAAAAAAATTATGTTTAGATTACTATATTACTATTAGTAGTTACTATATTTTTTAATTAAAATACATCCGTTTTCATAAGACGTTGCGTTGATTAGTTATTTTCGAAGTTTAGTGTTATAATTATATATTTGATAACCTATTTATACTAAAATATAACTATTTAATTTAACGAATTAAAATTTTAAAATATAAATAATTTATACATGTCTAAAATGTAAAAATTACTTTTTATTATTAAAAATAAAATATTCATTAAAAACACATTTTGATTTTCAGAGTACACGTCTGTTTGAAGATAAAATTTCTTTGCCCTTATTTCAATACAATTTTTATTTATTATCAATGTTTTAACATTTTTAAAATGGACTGTTGAAATATTTGAAAAATGTTTACATTTTTCATAGTAAATTATGTACTATAATATTCATAGATCAAAACCAAACTATTAATTTAACATTTTAATTCGAAACTAATGACGATTATTTAGTCAACCGCACCCGTCGCACTTTAACTAGTTATTAAATAGACACTATTTTAAATACAAATTTGTAAGTTTAGATTATACAGTCAATTGTGAATATTAATAGCGTTTTAGTATATTGATGTTAATTCGACACATAAAATGAAAATTATTTTTCGTAGATCAAATTTAAAATTGACCATTAAATTAAATAAGACAAAATTCATAAATTAAATTTGAACAATTTTACTAAAAATTTACTTATTATTTAAATAATCCAGCGAGACTTGAAAAAAATTAGTAATTTAATTATACCAAAAAGAAGACAATATTTAAAAATTATTTATTTCATTAGCTCTTAGCTCTTGATTTTTCTCTCCGGTATGAAGTACCGAACTTCATTTTAAATATTTCAATCAAAGTAGTAACTCTAATAAAAATTATTTAAATGTTGTAAATAGAAACGTAAAAATTAACCAAATAATTATTTTATCTTTTGATAATAAAATTGTGTTTATTCACAATAATATTTACTGGATTCTTATTTCCAAAAGTTTAGGTATCACACAATGTACTATGTACGTGGGTATAGATCCTGTCTGAATACTTGCGTAAGTACCACACACTGGTATTTTAATATTTATACTCGACTCGGGATCTGAATAAATAATTTATGAAAATTGGTATGTGTACGCAAAATACGTGTAAAAACTTCTTTTTATCGTTTACAGNCGCAAAATACGTGTAAAAACTTCTTTTTATCGTTTACATGGCTTCATACTTACTCGTATATGTGTAATTTATACCTCTATGATAGTATTATACGCCAACCGCCAGATTGAAGTACCTATCTTAAGTACTTATATTATGGTTGGAAATTCTAAATAGTTGATTTGGAGTTATTCGCAATTTTTCAAAGCTAATGCATTTTCTTAACGATATTTTTTAGCTATTAGTATTATTCGAGGCACGTTTGGCATGTTATTAGTCCATAGACAGGGACGTAATTAAAATGGGGCGAGAAGGATGTGCAACCACAGGATGAATATAACTATACAATGAAAACACAATTATTTTTTGCTTAAGGAGATAGTAAAAAATTATCTTCTAAAAGGAAAAATCCTCTCCGAAATTACGCCACTGTCCCTAGAACATTTTCTGGGACTATTCCAATTTTTTATGTCTTAAGACGTTATTTGTTTCAAATATTCTATACAAAAAATTACAATTTAAATATATTAGAGCAATTATGAAATTAATTATGATAAATTTGTTAAATTACCAATCACAAAATTTTATAATACTATTAGTAGTAGCTTAACATATAACTGACAGAAGCTTAAAAGATATATTTTTTTATTTATTTCATGAAAGTAATCTATACTTTTGAGCATCTCAAATAAAAAAAAACCGAGAAACTATTAAACTTTTGAATTTAAATCAAGAAAGTCAGGACTTTTAACCTGATTATATAACAATATCTAAAAAATAAAAAAGTCTATTTTTTGCTTAAAATAATTCCCTTTTGTAATAAAAGGATAGGAATTGGAAAATATTTAATCTTATTAATATTTCTGTTTACCTAAATAATTATATTACATTCTATATTATATAAATTAAGGTCATAAACTATAATAAATAAATTCTTTCAAACATTTTTTTGATAGTTATTTTCCTGATTTACAATTTTTAAAACGAACACGTATCTAAAGAGATAAACACAAAAGTACGTCATTGAATTACTAAACCCAAAAGTTTGTAGTTAATTGAAAACGGAGTAGCTTACTCGTAACCTTAACTGTAAGATTATACTTTGATTGTAACTGTAAGAGAAAACTTTTGCGAATATCATTATTTTGAGAAACACTAAAATTACAGATTTAGAAAATCAAAATTTTAAATGTAGAACTTTATAGTTTATATCCCAAAGTTGATAAGCCACAAAAATAGAGTTTTCATTTATTTGATAAAAAGTAAATGTTAATTTTCCAAAAAGGTTTATTTTTAATACTTCATTACCACAAAAATTCAAAAATAGTATTTGCCCTCCTAAAAAATTGATACATATTACCAATTTTTAAAAAGGGACACATTTTTTGTGATTGCGTCCTCCTTCTAAGAAGAAGTTTTTTAACCATGTATACACTAGGATGGTTGTTAAATCCATTGACAGAGAGGAAAGACAACTACAATCACTTAAATAATGTTTTTTTTTTCATCAAACGGAGACGACTGCGACCGAGTCTCGAACCCGAGACAGTGCACATCAGACACTGTTGCCATACCGAGTCGACCACACCGCCACTCGATTTATAAGCT